AGAGGTTTGGTCTCAAAAGGTCTAGAGTTTAAGAAGAATATTTTTCATCTCCTTTCTCAGCATTGTCCTTTATTACAGTAAATCATTCTTCATTAGAAGTACGGTCATACTTCTATTAATAGAAAAGACATCTCAATGTCACACTTCATCATAAAAAATGTTGTAATTAAAATAATATACAAAGCATTGGAATACATTCTAGGAGGAGGGATAGTAAGGGATAGGGTATAAATGAACCCAAGGGAAGTTATCCCTTATATTATTAATAAGTAAGCTTCTGATCATTTTGTTAACTGACAGTAGATAATTTCTTAGTTTGGTTGAAAAGATGAATGGAGAATACTGAAGACCTGCAGATGGTGAAGGTTAGAGGTGGTAGATAAATCGATGTCAGAAAGAAACAAGGGGAAAGACTGGGCAAGGCGAGAGTGCCAAAAAGCAAACATTTCCTAATTTTGTTTAGAGTCCATGCTATTAACAGCTGTGATGGACAAACTGAAGCTGTGTGTAGAAGTTTGTGTGTAGGTACATGGCCACAACCTAATAATGCTCCCATTATTTGTCAGGACTTTTTTCTTGATTTCTCCTCCTCCTCCCCCCCCCCCCCCCCCCAGCAGTGCTGACTGTGTAGAAAGATGTTTAGTCCTAGATAATTGTGTAATGAAGTATTACATCACCAGACTACATAAATAGATATCATGTAACTATATATAAGTAAAGTAGATTAAGTAAATTTCCTTTTCTTAAAAAAAGCACAGAGAAACTGCTTACCTGATATTCGTTAGTGTGAAGTCTATTTTTGGATGCTTCCTGCACCAAATACTTCCGACAGATTCCCAATTAAACTTTGCAGCAAACAACTTGCTTTCATTTCTCCAGTAACCTCCGATACAGGATAATGGCAGGTGTGCTGCCCTGGAAGTAAGGAAAGTAACTTAAAGATAATAAACACAAGGAAGCAAAAACTTAAAAAAATATTAATAAAAGTAAGCAAGTATTTGTAAACTGAGTTCATATAAATGAAGAACTCTTTCAATGAAAGATTATCTACTCATTGGGAGCAGAAGATTCACATCACCCCCATATCCCACCACAAAGCTTGTATTAAATACCTTAGTGTATTGACAAATCCATTTGCTAAATAGCACAGTCTCACAAGACTATTTTGAAATACTTCATAATATTTTATGCACTCTAAACTGCTTCCAAATAAAAAGAATAAAGGCAAAAACCTCACTTTAAAATTAGACAAACAACTCAAGTAATTCATTTCAGATTAACTCTTTCAGAAACAAGACTTTTTGAAGACCTCTATCTTCTTTTTATAAAAATACATTTTTTATTGGCTTTAGAGAGGAAGGGAGAGAGAGAGAGAGAGAGAAAAATATCAACGATGAGAATTAGTCGGCTGCCTTTTGTACAACCCTGCAGTGGAATCAAGCCTGCAACCTGGGCATGTGCGCTGACCGGGAATCAAACCGTGATCACCTGATTCATAGGTAGATGCTCAACCACTGTGCCATGCCAGCCAGGCCCCATCTTCTTAAATACTCTATTTTTGAATGAGTGATTTTTTTAAAAAATAAGTCTTTATTGTTCAGATTATTACAATTGTTTCTCTTCCTGCCCCCCCTCCCCCTTAGCTCCCCTCCACCTGGTCCCCTCTCCACCCTCTGCCCTTACCTCCTCTCCCCTCACCCCCCATAGGTATATGATTTGAGTGATGCTTTTTATACTTGCTATATTTATACTGGAAGGAATTACAAAAAAAAAAATGGATCTTTTATATTCTTTAATGAAATTTAAGTCTCTTAAGCAATTCTCAGTTCCAGGATTCCTGCCATGTGGTATATTTGTGCCTGCCATGTCAAATCATGCATTTCTGTTGCAGCATCAGATCTCAACTCAATCTAAGTAATTTTTGCCATCAGCTACTGTCATGGACTTGTCTCTCTGTGTGGTTCCATTTTCTTTTTGTTGTTGTTTAATTTATTGGGGTGACACTGGTTAGTAAAATTGTATAGGCTTCAGGGGTACAATTTTATAATACATCATCTGTATATTGAATTGTGTGCTCACCACCCCACTCCTTCCATCACCATTTATTCCCCCATTTTTCACAACTAATATGCTGGCTACTTACATTAGCTTTAGGTTATGGTTACTAATTTACCTAAGGAATTATTCTATTTCACTTTATAGAAACAGATGGCCTTTTCTAAAATCTTATTCCTCAACGAGGAAGGAAGAGCTCATCTAAAGAATAATTAGTAGGTAGGTGGAGTTAATAAGCTGAGCATTGAGAGGTCAAACACCTGTATCTATCCAATCAGTTCTTATGCCAAAGGAAATAAAGTAAGAAAATTTTGGTGGCCTTGGGTATCTATTCCTAATCATCTGTGTTCTTTGAGAAAATGGTGAAACTGACACACAAAAGAAGATGTATGAAAAGTTTTTCCCCCGACAGATGATTTCTGTTCATCCTGACAAGCATTTTTGTTGTGGTTGGTGAGACAGGATTAAGTGCTGAGGCTGCATCTGGCCAAGTGCCAGTTTTGTGGACTTACTTGGCCCACACAAAGATGAAAATGGAAACTTTGGCCTCATAAATTGCTAGGAATCTCAGGCAGGCCTGCTCATGTTTCAGAGCCAGAGGTTTCGTCACTGTCTTTTCAGAAAACAACAAAAGCTCAGTGTAGGTTAACATTTTCAAATTGTTCAGATGAGATACCTGACTAAATCTAAGCTTAGGCTACCAAGGCACTTCTCCTGATTCTCCTCTGGCTGCTCCTTCTCTGGCTGCTTTGCTGAATCCTCATTTTTTTTTGTCTTAATGTTGGAGTGCCCTGAGACTCACTCCTTGGTTCTCTTCTTTTTTCCAGATACATTATCTAGTTGATCTCAATCAGTCCCCGGATTTTAAATATCATCTATATGTTGTCAACCTACACATTTCAGTCTACCGCAGATACATATCTGTCTATACCTATCTTTTCACTTGGATGTGTAATAGGTATTCAATTTGCCATATCTAAATCAGAGTACAAATATTCCCTTCCCATTGCCCGCAACTCCCAAATCTGTTTCTTCTCCATCTTCCCAATCTCAGTAAATGTCTACTCCACTTTCCCAAGAGCCCAGACCAAACCCTTGGGATCATCATTTTGACTCTGCTCTTTCTCTTATACTCATAGCAATTCTTTCAGCCATTCTTGTGTGCTTTAATAGAATCAGAATCTGACCACTCCTCTCCATCACTCTGACTTAATTCCATGTCACATTTATTTTTCATCCCACTAGGCTAATCTCCTTGCTTGCTCTCTTGCTTCCCTACATATATATGTTGCTCATATAGCAAGCAGTCATTTAAAAAACACACATGAAACTTATGCACCTTTTGAAACATACACATAAATGGTGATCACCTCCATGCACCCATCACACAGCATCCAAAATTGATATTTGCGTATCTTATTTTTTTCTATTCCTTCCCTCACTTTTTTTTTTGTAGAATAGTTTAAAATAAATTACAGCAAAGCCATCCTTTTAATCATTAGATCAAGCTGCTCACAATGTTCTAGTTGCTTCTTTTCTCAATGAAATCCAAATCCTTTAGGGTGTCTTATAAAGCCTATGTAATCTCTCACCGCTCCTCCCACACCATCTCCCACCATCTCCTTCTGTCCTCACTGTACTTCAGTTACTCCAGACTTTCCAACCTTCGCTGCCATCAGCATCACCTGGACGCCTGGTTACAGCACAGACTACTGGTCCCCACGCCCAGAGTTTCCCATTCAGCAGATCTGTAGTGGGCTTGGGGAACTCGCATTTCTAACATGTTCCCAGACACTATTGCTGTCCAGCGGGCATACTTGAGGATCCACCTGCTATCCTACTCTCCCTTTATTCTCAACAGGCCAGGCAAGATTTTTCATAGGAGCCTCTGCAATTGCTCTTCCCTATGCCCCGAGTCCCTCTGTATTACTCAAGATTCATTTTATGCCATCTCTGTTAAAATGGTTATCTTTTGAGAGGCCTCCCCTGAACACTCCTTAAAATAGCATCCCATCTCTTCACTCTTCACAGTAGGCATCGTTTCGTGTGTCTCTCTCGTCGGTCTAGATGGCCAGCTCTACACACACTCGCAGACCTGGCTCTGCTCTCCACGACATCCTGGTGTGGAAACCTTGCTGAGTGGGTGCTCACTTCACCGGAGTGGACCCTAGACTGCGGAAGATTCATTTCTTCTTGCCTCAGTGTCACCATTTGCAAAGGAATTTCGGTTGGTGGTGCTTAGCCTTCCCACCTCCCTCCCTGGGCAGAGGCTCATCAAATCAAAAGAGAAGAACGTGGACAAGCGTGTGAAGCAGAGCCATCAGCGGATAGCGAGCGCGATTAGGCTGTGCTTTCGGGCACCCTTTTCCCGCACAGACAACACCAAGCCTCCAACCTCCCAGCTTCCCGCCGGGGGACCCGCAGCACCCACTGCAGGCGCCCCCGCCCCGGGCCGCCCCGCCCCACCCCGCCCCGCCGGCCCGCGCCGCACCGCCGGCGGCAGCAGCAGGAGGAGGAGGAAGAGGAGGAGGAAGAGGAGGCGCCGAGGGAGGGGTCCCCGGCCGCCGCGGGAGGCCGCACCGCCGTCCCGTCACGGCGTCGGCGCCGGCGGGGCCGAACCCGGAAGTGGCCGAGCCCGCGCGCCCGCCGGTCCGCCCGCCCGTCCCGCCGCCGCCGCCGCCGCCGCCGCCGCCGCCGCCCCGCACTCGGGCGAGCGCGGGAGCCGCGCAGTCAGACGGAGCGAGGGCGCCCGGGCCGAGCGGGCCATGGCCGCGGGGGCCGCCGCCGCAGGTGGTGGCGGCGCCCGGTGAGGCGGGCGGCGCGGGGCTCCCCCTCCGGGGCGGATGGAACGCGGCTCGGCGGGCGGGCAGTGCCGGCGTCCGCGGCTGGAATGGTGCTGGCGGCGGCGGGCGGTGCCTGCGTTCTGAAGCCCGAGAGGAGCCACCATGGAGACGCCGCCGCTGCCTCCCGCGTGAGTGAGCGGGCGGCGGGCGGGCTGGGCGGCTGCGGACTCGGCGGGCTGCTCGGGGACGGCCGCCCCGGTGCTCGCTGGCCGCCGCCGCCGGCGTGGGGCGCGGGGAGCCGCCGGCGAGCGGGCGGCGGGCGGTGGGAGCCGCGGGGCGTGACGAGGCGCGGTCCCCGCAGTCCCGAGGCGGGCGGACACCCAGCCCGGCCCGGCGGGGACTTAAGAGACGCTGCCCGGGTTTTCCTGGGAGGGAAGGGGTCCCCCGATGACCCCCCCCCCCCGGAGAGGGGGAGGCTCGGGTTGGGGCTGTGTGTGGGGGGCTCTGCCCACCGTGTGTGCCTCCCCCCGAATGCATGGGCGGCTGGTGCCCCGCAGGCCGACCCCCTCTCGGAGGGATGGAGCTGGGAGGATGGATGCTCGGGAGTCCGCTGGCAAAAGGGTCCTGGAAAGTACCAGACAGCCCCGGCGGCGTCTCAGTGGATTGATCCTAGGTGGCTTGCTTCTCCGAATTTCTAGTAAAATTAATTCGAGGAGCATGTCCATCGCTGGAGGAGCGTGGGGCATGTGACCTCTTTTACCTGGCGCTGCAGAGAACTGTATCCAGAAACCAGAGCATCCTCCTCTGTTTCCTTGGTACCCTGGACACAGCCCTAGTGCAGCGACCTGCCAGGCACAGGTGTCTTTTTTTCTTTCTTTCTTTTCTTGGTACCCAGATACATTTCAAGATGACTGACAACAGGATTACTTCTTAGAAATAATCACAGCTGAACAATTCTATGGAAGATGTCACCTTATTGAGTACATGATTTAAAAAACAACAACATACACATTTTGGTAAAAGTGAACTATATACATCTCCGAGTTCTGATTATGTTCACATTGGATGTGCTTTCCTTTGTTGAATCTTTCTGAAGGAACAAGAGCCCTTTGAATCCTGACTTTTCAAACCGCAGACACACCTCATACTGAAGAACGGCTCACCTTGCCATGAGAATTTATTCATGGAGTCTTATCGTTTTTTTTGTGTTTTTTGTGTTGTTTTTTTTTTTTTACCTTGATTTTGCCAGCTTCATTCCATTCACTCATCTGCCTCATGTGATTATTTGGTAGCATTCCAGCCACACAATGGATATTAGGCTTCTGCTGAATAATTCTTTTGATGCTGAACCGTTTTTAGGAGATCTAATAGGATTCTGGGATTACAATTGTTAAAAGTGCCTTATGGATGTTAGCTTGAGTGGAACAGGTCATGGAGATCGAAGGAGCAGATGATAAGCCTCTTGAATGGACCCTCCTGGGCTAATAGAAAGGAGGGCTCAGTTGCTTCATGATCACTTTGAGGGCTTTGGGGTCTGGTTTGGTTCCTCAGCAGGTTCAGGAAAGCTCCTGATTCCTAGGAAGCATGATGGTGGATTGCTAACATCAGCAGCGTGAGCATAGCACCGGCACAAGTTACGTCCAGGCTTAGAGGCGCCAAAGGCAGGAAATGCTGCTTGTATATAGACAACACATAGTATGTACCATAAATCACATAGATGTTTTCCGACCAAAGCTGCCCCTTTATGTTAGTTCTCTATAACCCCTTTTTGCTTTTTGAGCAGAGAGTCCTAAAGGAAAGAGAAAGTCCCACCAGTGTGGCTCAGTGTTTGAGTATTGATCCACGAACTAGGTGGTCACGATTTGATGCCAGAATGGGCACATACCCAGTGGGGGCCATGCAGGAGGCAGCCTATAGATGAATCTCATCATTGATGTTTCTATCCCTCTCTCCTTCTCCCATCCTTTCTCTGAAATTAATAAAAATACTTAAAAACTTTTTTTTTAAAGGGGAAGAACAAGAAGATTTTAGAATGCAGGTGAAAAGAATGGGTGTGGAAAAGCAGGCTTTGGAGGGAGGGAGTAGAGACATAAACAATGATTTAAATATAAATATTAAAAAATAACCGGGGGTTAAAGGGATACTTTGTAAAGTGTATGATGGTCTAACCGCTATGCTGTACATTTGAAACTAATCAAAACAATACTGAATGTAAACTGTAATTTAAAAAAAATGAAATAGATGTTTACATGCAAATGTTGATACATGGAATCTAGGAAGGAACAGCTAATGATAGCTTTGGTGTCTTGCACAATTCTTTGGTATTGAGACTCCATCAATAGCGCCCTAGCAATGATAGGCTGAGAGGTAATCGCCTGCAGCGATGAAAGCATTGTTACAACTTCTTTCTATCATGGGTGGCCAGAGTTGGTGAGACTTTTGCATTGTTTCTGTTCATAATAATAAATACAAATAGGTTTTATTTTCCCTTGGTCTAACTAGGATTAATTCTCATTCCAGAGTCCCTTAAAAGTGTTGCTTACCTTTCTGTAAATCAGAAATAGTCTTCCTTCCCACCCCTTGGCCTGTTTGCTTCCACTCCCACTAACGTGTTTCTTCCTTCTACTCTGAATCATGGGTGCCGGATTTGAGAGATGCAGGCAGTGTCTTCGGGAAGCAGTTTCTTTGGGCCTCACGGGGCTAGAGCTAGCCTAGGGCAGAGGCCGGTGAAAGTTATTGGGAGGGCTCAACCTTCCATCAGGTTAGATTTGTAGCCTGGGTTTTAAGGCAAAGAAAGATGTTTGACGTGGGCTTAAAGTGCTTTGGATGATGTAGTAGGAACCAGGGACTCAGATCCTCTTTGTTTGAGTGTCTGTTTATTATTTCATTCATTCTGCAAATATTAGAGTGCCCGTCTCTCTGTCTGGCACTGTGTGCGGTACTTTTGCTCGTACTTCTCTCTTAACAGTCAGTTTTACATTGCTTTCAAATCCCACCTTGTTCTCTTTTTGCCTGTTGGCATATTGTCTTGGAGGAATGGAGGTGACTGTGCCCAGGCTCCCTTGTCCCTTCACTACGGGCTTGTTGAAATTAGGTTTTGATTTCTTCTCTTTTTTTCCCCACTCCTCATCCATTTTGATTTTCATATTGATTGTCATTGGGCTTTATTATCTCTGCTTATTGTGTTTTTGCATCCTTGGGTACACAGAGTGTTTAGAAGCTGTTGCATTTTGAATTCTGGGAGATGGTATGACCATGGCACATGTGCCTCAGAATCTGAAAGGTGTGCAACTAAAAAATTAGATGTAAATTAGTAAAGGAGTTTCAGGCCATCAACTGAGATGTACAAAAGGAAATGTAAATGGATAAGCCTCTCATCTCAGGAATGTTTTCTGTATTTTAACTTTCAGAGTTATTTTTGAGAGGATTTTCTCCTACTTGTTAAGGGAAGACTAGGTAGGAGGTGTAGGACATAGTTCATCCTTTGACCTCCCCTCACTGAACAGTTTTCTTGGCCTTTGTTTTCCTACTGTCTCTTATTTCACAAGTTGACTGTCTCTCTACAGATCTTGTTGGTTTTTTTTTTTTTTTTTTTTTCCTTTTCAAAACTAAGCAAACATGCTTCAAATACAACAATATTTTTTTCCAGTTGATTCCACATCACTGGACACTCTTGAACTTTGGAGGTGCTCAAGCATAGGCTGGCAAACATCTTGTTGACTGAGTTCTAAGGGATTGAAGCAGAATATTGTAAAATTGAAGTTCACCATAGCATTGCTGAGTTTTTTGTTTTTGTTTTTGATAAAGAAATTTTGATAAACTAATGCTCAACTATCATCTTTTTGTAAAAGAAAGGACATTTTAGTATCCCTTCCCAATTCAAAGAAGGACATAATCTCAGAATAAAGGATAGTTCTCAAGTGGAATAAATTTAGTTTTATGAAAATTTACTACATTGCCTTCATTTTGTCACAGATCAGTTAAAAGTTCATTGAGGTCTGACATTTGTGATCCACTGGACCAGTGACCTTTAATGTTCTTTCTGATTCTAAGATTCAATTCCTGTCAATTTGGAACTTTGCCATTGGTTATCCCACTATCCATTTGTTTGTCTTTTATAGCCTGCTGGCTATAAGAGTTTAACTAGTTTTTTGTTTAACTAGTCCTAAGTAAATTGGGCATCTCTCAGATTATAGGTGAACCTCCTCAATGATAGACAAAAACTTTAAAATACTTAGGTAATGTTGAAAGAAGACAAATGAATCCTTGTGTATTAAAGGAAGTGTAATATATAAAGAAATTTTCTAACTGCATTTGGGAACTTGAGAAGTTGGTTCTGGAATAATAGCATTTAGTAATCTTGAAATTTTCTGACGCTGGAAAATCACTGCTCCACCTCCCACCCAAAATCCCCCAAACCTCTTGTTTTTGGTTAATATTTTATAGGGCACTTAGTTGTCATTTAATAAATATTACTATGCTTTTGTGAAGGTGACTCTAAATGTACTCATCTGTGATTGTTATGGAACTGCACTAGGAGTGTTTATGAAAACAATTCAACTTTTTTCTTAAGATCAAGGTGATATGAAGAATTGAAAATTGCCTTTCAGAATGCTTTTTGATAGAATTCTTCCAAATTCTAAATGTATCTACTGTTCGAAATGAGAGAGTTCAGGTTTTGTTCAGATTTATTGGGTTTCTACTATGACCGGGCTTTGGGAAAAACTCAGAAAACAAAACAAAGTCCTTTTCCTTGAGGTTGAATCTGATAGGGAACAAATATAGAACACAATTACTGTAGTGGGTGGGTTAATATACTTTGTCTTATGCACTTTTTTCATTTCAGACTCTTGGCATTTGCTACTGTATTTTTTGGACCAGTTCTTTTCACTGATTCTGCCTTGAAAAGCATGCCTTTGCTTTCCATAACATTACCTTTTCTTGGGTTCTCCTCTAGTTTTTAGGTTGCTAAATGTGACTTACGTTGTTTTATTACTTTATTTCATCAACCTACCTTGTAGTGTAGGTCCTGTAATTTTTTAAATTGTTTTTCACAAATTTATTTATTTAAAGCTAGAGGCCCGGTGCACAAAATTCATGCATGGGTAGGGTCCCTAGACCTGGCCAGCGGTCAGGGCTGATCTGTGGGATGACTGGTGGGTGACCAGTGGGGATCCTCCCCCCTGGC